TTTGTTTTTTTCCTTTTGTTCATTTTTTTATATATATATATATATAATTTTAATGGCTGCCTAAACTATTTTTTGAACTAGATTCTGAAAGTCTGAATATGTCACTTGGTAAAATTCCTAAGATCCTTTTATTCCAATTAGAAAATAACAATGAATATAGTTACTATATTCATATAGTAAGAGTAATTGAACATTTATCTTGTGTCTTTCTTTCACATTTTTATCCTAAATGTCCTAGCCCACATGCCTCTCTTAATCGAGCAGTTATGCCCTCAATTTATGCAGTTGGCTCCATTAAAAACCAGCCTGAGGAATCCTTTTATTATTCACAAAATCAGTGCAAAATCTTTCATTCTGGCCTGCTTTAGTTCTGTTTCCTGGCTTATTCTCATTCAGCCCAGTTCTCATCCCTATGATGACTGTCAACTGCCCTCTTCTCTGGCAAGGATTTCTGGCTTCCTTCCTTAACTGTGATTAGTATTTGCCCCACCGACTGTTCTCCTTCAAGTCATGGTAGCAGGTGCTGGCTACAGGCCCTAGTGGTCAATACTTCCATGCTGGTATACACACCATAGTCAAAACACTATTCCATTTCCAGGCTTTCAATTCATTCATGCTTAAGAGCCACAACAGGGCATTTCCAGAGCTAATAAACATGGCAGTCAGTGTCCTCCAATTTCTCCTGCTACTAATAATTATGGGAATTCTCTTTTACCTCTGCCTTTGGCTCAGCTGATTCATTAGAGGTATCAAGTTGTTCCTTTGCTTGGGCCATCTGAGTCATCAATCTGTCCATGTGAGACTGGATGTCTGCCAATATCTCAGTTACATGAGCTGTGGCCATTGCTTCCTGGATATCCACTAGATGAAGGGCCTTCTGCTCCTCATACGCAATCACTTTCTGAACTTTCTTAAATTCCTTCTGTATAAACTCCTTCATCGGGTCCCGAGTTACCTGTAGAACATAGACAAATAAGAATAAGTTCGACGCACAAAGAAACGGAAGGGTAGAGCTGTTAATGTAAATGGTAGGCAGCCACAGCCAAAATATGGTTCCTATCTGATCCTAAAGTTTTAGGAATATCCTCCAAACAGTGTTCCCCTAATATCTTTAATGAAAATGCTGCTAATCTTTTTGCCTCTTTCATTCTATATATCCTTCCTTTTTTGTTTCTTTCCTTTTGTTCATTTTTTTAATCAATAATACACAATTACTTTTAAAAAATTTAATAGATGAGTACATATGGTAAAAAATGAAATTCTTCTCTCTCCATTTCTATACCATTTCCCTCCTCAGAGAGAAATTACTGTTAATAATTTGGTATGTATCCTTCCAGTCATTTTTCTGTGTAG